CAACAGTCAGCCAAATGTAATCATTGGTGTATCTCACACCAACGTGGAAACCCTCTTTCGGAGCCAAGTGGTTATGTGTAGCCACTTGCGTGTAACCCCGTTACACCTGGCCTTGGACCCAATGACTGCAGATTCACCGAATCCCAAGCTGCTGGTAGTAGGATAAGGATCTTCGTAGACACCTCCGTCGACATCGATCTCGGGGATTGGCATCTATGTCATGGACAAAATCCGGACATGACCTGCGAATTTGTTTGCAGGAACAACTCAGTAAAGAGATCAACGGAAAAATACTTGTGCAATTCGGAAGTGCCGGTTCGCTGATCACCCCGTGAGTCCTGCCACGCCGCATACAAAAAGTCGCTCCATTCGATGCGCCCGTCACCATTGGGGTCCAGTCGCACCCAAATCGCATCAAGTTCTTCATCACTAAAAACGAGCCCAAGCTTCTGTAGTGCGATTTCCAGCTCGGTTGATGAGATCTCGTGACTGCCGTCGGTATCGCAGCGATTGTATGCGTTTTTCAGCGCCTTACATCGAGCCACAAATCTTGTGGAAGGGAGTGCTCTTCGCTCTTGCGAACACCGTACAATAACATGTCGATACCTTTCCAAGAATGAGTCGTAGGTTATAGTCTGATCTCTTAGATCGCTTGTTGATATTCCAAGCACTGGAGATTCCGCTGTGGTGATTCCCATGAGTTCCAAGAAGACAGACAACTCGTTCGTCATTATTGCGCCATCGTCGTCAGCGTCACAAGCGTGAAAGAGAGCGCGTAATCGACGCATATACTCTTCCCCAACTTCTTCATTGAGACTCAGAGGGTTCCTTGCATTCAGTCGCCTGGCTGCTACCGCTGCAAAAAGTGTCGCTTTTCGTCTCCTCAATGCCTCACTGGGTGGCCCATTCTCAATTTGCGCTCGCGGCCGCTTCTTCGAGCTTGCGGATAGTCGGTGCTTCGCCATCGAGTAATGTACAGCAGCATCGTTGGTAGTGGGTGAAGGGCATCTGACCTCCGTGAGCGACGTATCCGTGGCAGGCGTGACTTTTGATACCATCACAATGTGGCTAAAGAACAATCGGATGTATGGAGCATATTAATAGAGTCGATCTCTGAGTTAAAAAAAACTCTATTTTCCTTCCATTAAAACTTCAGCTCTAAAGTTTTTCATGGATAATACTGTGTAAAAAATAACCCTTTCAGGATTTTGCTGGTACGTTCCGGATCTGCCGGTTGTACGCGGTCATAAACTTGGAGAAGTCCTTATCTTTCTTAACACCCCTTTGCGTTTTCTGCAGGATAAACACACGCACCTGTTCCGGCTTCAATCCAGCATGGAGCCACAGTTCGGATTTCTCCATCTCAGACACCGGCTTCGAGATCTTGCTCCCAGGCTGGTTTCTCTTGTAGTTGACAGCGAACTTGAGATACTGCTCGGAATCCTTGCGCATCAGGATAGTACGAAGTGGCTGAGACGGGTCTTTCTTCAGGACCTCCACTCGAACTTGGGACGGCGTTAATCCTGCATAATGCCACAATTCGTACTTCTGCATTTGTGACGCAGGCTTTGGAATTTTAGTCCCTGGCTGATGTCGTTGGAATTCAACAATAAACTTGAGATATTGGTCGGAATATCTGCTTCTCAGAACATAGCCAAGCCCCTGTAGCGGCGTTCTCTTCGCACTGAGGGCGTTCACTGCACTCTGCACCTGGGACGGCGTTAATCCAGCATACAACCACAGCTCATATTTCTCCATCTGTGACGCCGGCTTTGGAATTTTACTTCCTGGTTTTCGCCCCCGATAGTCAACCATGAACTTAAGGTACTGGTCGGAATCCTTGCTTCTCAGAATATAGCCAAGTGCCTGCGACGACTTCTTGTTCACACCCAGGGCGGCGCTCACTTGACTTTGGACACGCCGCGGCGTCAATCCAGCCCTCAACCATTGCTGGTACTGCTCCAGCTTCATAGCCTCCCTAACCGCGCTGGGTCCGCCGGTCTCGACAACAGACCCCACCTTTCCGAGAAGCCCATTAATCATTGGAGCAAACATCTTTTCCTCTGATTCTTCAGCTCCATCGTTAGTTTGAACCGTGTTTCGCAGGAATCTCTTGCCAAAATCGTCTTCTCTTTGGAAATGTGGCGAGTGGACCACGAGTGGGGCGTCTATCGGTGAGCTCTCGGTGGTCTCCCTGGCTGCTGAGACGATGTCGGTGTCGGCAAAGAGCACTTTTCCAGTTGCCAACAGAGCGTAAGTTAGACGCATATTTGGTCTTAAGGTGTCCTGAACAAGAAATCGAAAGCTAACCGACAGTGTCCTCAGTTCAGACACAGTAGAGTCTCTCCTCTCTACTAGAGAGGCGGGTAGTGCAGATCACTGGCAAAATCCTGAGCTCCGGATAAGATTTGTATTCCTAACTAAGGGTATGTTTAGGTACACTAGTTTTTCCAAAAGTGATCATGTTTGATACGTAGGTCTACAGAGGTCTGTACATGTATGATACGCTGTTGGCGGAAGCAAGGCATAGGCAAGCGTACATCTCCACTAACAACAATCGTACTACCCAGAAATTTTTATTACACTGCTATGTCGGCCGAAACTCAAGCCTTGAGTTTTACCATTGTACTTCGTAATAACACTAATGTTTAGTGCATCAAACTCGAGCTGCGGACGTTATATTTCATTCCTTCTGCTGCTTTCAAGTGATCAATTCAATTTCAATTTCAAGTTAGGTATATTGTGTTCTGTTAGTGACCTAATGATCATCAATATCCGAGACTACCACCCATTCCGTTGCTAGTCTTTTTGTGCTTCGGTCTCTACTTTAGGATGACTAGTCCTTTCAAGTGATCAGCTTTACTAACAGTCAATGAGCTATGCCCAACGCACCAGCAAGACACCATACGATGCTACTCTATTGTACCAACTTTCTTCAGTTGAAATCGGCGTAATAAAGTATGACTATTTAGAGGTGCAATAATTTGATGAGCGGGCAAAGGACACACAGCTCCCTCATCAATTATAAGTACGGTAGTACAAGCCGGCGAAAGTGGGCTAAATTGCTTGCGTTATGTGATCCATTCGCAATCTCGCTGCAAAAGAAGCGGCTGAATAAACAGAAAAACGAATTCTGAAAAACAGGTGGGTGACAGGCGTTACTTCAGTAAATTGTTCCAGGTACGTGACCTCTAATGAACACTGTTTATTACCACGGAGACATCTTAAATGGTGGTTCCCACATTTCCCACAATAAAGCTTATGGTGGTATTCATGTGGTACTAGATGTGGGATAGTGTGGGTAAATCTGAAAATAGCTTATATGTTTTGAAACGTTTACTACGAATTAAATCGACTTTTGTCTGTGGAAACCAGTGATACTGTATCACGCTGCAAAGTTCGTAGAATGCCCTCGAGTGATTGCCGGTATTTATTGCTTTCCTTATACGTACAGGTCATGGGGCAAAAGATCAGCCCATTCACAGTTATCGTCGGACTCGATGAGTCAAGTCGATAGGCGGTACGCGAGCGCGGTGCCGGCCCGAGAGTTGAGTCGGCGAGGGCAGCCCTGGCTGTGACGGATTCACACAGCACCTTGCACAGAGGAAGTGCTTAAGGATATTTACTACCCGAGTGAACGTAAATTCTCGGCCTCAGAGAGACCGGTTTGCTACTTACAAGAGTAGATGTAAGACTGATGGATTTATAGGTAAGTTTAGCTTGGGTTCTAATTCAAACTACACCAATTCCAGTCCAAACTGGGACGCCCACCAGAGTTATCCGGGGCGCGCGAGAGTCAAGGAGTATATTACCTAAACCAGTAAGAAAAACGACATTTATTTCACTTACACGTTCATTATGAAAAAACCTCCCGTTCAAAGACGCTTAAATATAGCACATTCCTCAACCACCACGTCGTCCTATCGCTGCGTCGCCGCTGCTCTCTCTCCAAAGCCGCAGCGTACTGCCACGGAGAAGGCGCAGCGATGCGCTCTGAGCACTTACGTAGATGGGGAAGTCTGGCTCAGTCGCCATGCACAGCGGAATGCTGCGCTCTGCAGCCTATCGTCTCTGCAAGTCTGGCGATCTTACTCCATCTAGGTGCGCGGCGGTGCGCGCGACGCCTCAACAAAGTGCACCGATCAAATGATCATTGCGATGGAGTCATCCTTGAAAGAAGACTGCACGCTCTCGTTAGAGCGACATAGCGAGCGAGTTGTTGACGTTTGCGGAACAGCTTATTAAAGGCATTGCGGGCAGCGACTAGATTGTGTATTACGACGAAACGATCTACAATCTTTTTTGTATGCGCTCGCATGGACGCGCTGTGAAAGAAGAGCGCGCTGTCGTCAAGCGTCTCCCCTCGTAGGGCAAGAACTTGCAAGTTCAGTGCGCAGTGTCAACTGAAGATGGCCTCGTGCTGCACCGGGGAGCATCCGCATGGAAGAAAATGCGGAGTCTGCGCATTTACACCACCGTCAAAGGTTTGAAGAGCTTTTAGCAGTAAATTGGAGGGCGGAAATTTATCATTGTGCTCGACAATGCTCCCGCCAACAATCTAACCGAGGGTCGGCTTGAGGAGGAGCTGGGAGAGCACGACAACATTATCTTGCTAAGGTTGGGGGCCTACTCCCCAAAGCTGAACCCAATTAAAGGTACGTTTTTGCCGGTCGCAATTACAATTATACTTTTTTGAAAAGTAACTTTATTTTTGGCTGTTACAATTGCGCAGGATGCTGCAGTGTCTTCAAGAGCAAAGTGAAGGCATATCTAGCGGCGTATTCTGGACGTTTGTTCAGCTGAGGCGAACAGGACACGCTCACGGCGTCGCGGGCCACGCTGTTGACGGACGCTGCAGAGACATCTGTCCACTGTATCCACCGCCATCTTGTCTTGGTGATGGCTTTACATCGTCAGCGGGCCGTTGCCGATGCACCGAGGTTCGAGGATATGCATTACGGTATCTCCCCACGAGACGGACGTTGTCTTTCGATCGAAACTTTAGGTCTGAAGGCATTGGACAAAGCAGTTGCGAAATACTTGAGGTATTTAATTTTGTATCTCTATAGATTAAACTTTAGTAAAATCCCTCTAGCAACCAATTCTTTTCGCCAACTCACCAGTCTCTGATCGACAGCGACCACTCGCAGGCGCCCCCCGGTAGGGATTGTTTCGAAGCGTCTACATGGACGAGCACACGCGTGATGGTATTGCGAATTCTCAAGAAATTCATTAAGTGGTGACAGACATTATCACAGACCACGCCGCTGCGCGCCCTTCCAACACCGTTAAGCAGTACGCTCCAAAACAAGCCAAGGTTAAAACGTGGTGTGCAGGTAAAAAGTATTTGGATGGCTGTATTGTCACTGAAGGGAAGCCAGTTACGCTTTTGAAGACGCACGTTATTCCTCGTGGTAACAAGCGCCAGAAAACCAAAGCTATTGATGCTAAAGCTCTCAGTTTAGCTGGCGTTGAAGCTTATGCCAAAGCTGTGATCGATCTGTACAAGTTGCAGCAGGCTCTACTTCTAAATAACCATCCACATCCACGTGGGAAGACCTATCCCGACCTTTTCGACACGCTCAAGCGGTCGGAAACTGAGCGCAAGCGAAAAACCTACGCAGATCGAGGGCTGGGTACCGTCCTTGATGGATATAATGTCGAAGACATGGTTCAACTCACTGACTAGTGGCTGTCTCAAAACGACGGTGCTTCTTTGCGTGATCGTGTGGATTTCGTTTTGGGGCATGCACTTCTTGCACGGGGCGAGAGTCGCCGTTTAATTGAATTCCCTGATATGTTGACGCTAGAGTTACCGGATGAAGGCTCGCAAACATGCACGCCACTTGTGATCATCATGAATCGAGGCAAAACTAATCAGCATGGCTGCATCGAGTACGGGGCAGCCATGCGATGGAAGAACATGGGTGTGTGACCATTGAATGCTATAGCGCTCCATTTTGTTTGGCGCTGGCAAATTGATTGTGAACCATTTCTCGATTTTACATCCCGCGAAAGGTGGTACGATATCCACCTCATTAATGGTGGTGACAGAACGAAGGAGATTTCGTACAACACTCAGCTAAATCGTATCAAACGAGCTTTCGCGGCGTGCGGGATCGAATCAACCGTTTGGACACATGTTAATCGAGGATCGGGGGCGAAATTGGCGGAAACATTTGGTGCTAGTAAAGAACAAATTCGGCGTCTTGGGAGGTGGAATGCAGCGCGGATGGAAGGATGCTATATTACATATCTACCTAAAAAGGCTATGCGAGCCTTGGCTGGATATCCGACAAAGGGTGGCGGCTACTGGCTGCAGCGAGGTTCTGCTACTCCAAGCTCTGAGTTACAACAACTGGCTTACCCTGAGATTGAGGCTGCAGCTAAACAACTGGCTCAAATCTCGACGCGTGAAATTGCTGGAGCTGCCTTCATTCAAATGCTCCGTCACATGCGAGTGGTCCTTCTCCAAGACTCTGTGGTGCTGCGGCGGCAGTATCCCAATCATCAATTGTGACAGCACAGCTTGTTTTCCAATGCAGAGTACGCATCCTTTGATCAGGAACCCTATTCGTTGATACCAGCGATTACACAGCCTGAAGCAAAATCGCTTGCGGTTTTAGTGCCTCAAATTGCGGACGTGCTGAAGAACGGAATGGAATCTCTACACGGCAAGCTGGATGCGCTAGCAGCGGGGATAGAAACACTAAAGGCTCTCTCAAACAAACGGCTTGTATTCAGCTGGGAAGACAGCACGTCAGGTCATGATCCGCTGCAGTCAGCAGTAACACAGCCGCCCTTTACATCATGTGCAATTCCGCAGTCACTTCAACCTCGTAATCCAAGGCTGAGCAGATCAATCTCGACGGTTGTGGACTTGTGGAAAGAGTACTCTGTGGGGCTTGCAGGAAACATGTCAATTGCGGAAAGGTGAAGAGGGAAGATGTGTTTGACTACTGTAGCAGAATTGAGCAGTTTGCTCTTAAAACAGACAGTGCGTAGAGCTCATGGGTCTCGCCGCTCGTAGTACGCTACTACAAGCGGACTGGTCCAAGTACCCAACGAAGTACAGAGGATGCGTTCTCGAAGGGAGCTACAATCAATGGAGACACTAACGTGGCATCGGTCGATACGCCTGTGGGGGATCAAAATGATGCTAGCACTATAGAGGGTGATACTGCCGTTGTAGAGGAATGTGGTGTAGCAAGCGACGGATGTACTGTAATTCAGGAACGCGATAGTGTGAGGAGGCAGATAATAACCGG